CGGACAGGACCGAATTCCTTCCCGGTTTCTCCCGCCGCTCCTTTGCGCTCTCCCGGCCGGGCCCGTCGGGGGCTGCCCCGGTCTCTCACTTTCGCTTTAATTTTATATCCCCAATTCTGCTTTAATAGAAAAAGCAAAAGGCAGAGCTGCTGGGGCAATGGGAACCAGGTGGGACCCGGCAAAGCCGCCTCGGGGAACAGGTAGAAAAAACCCCAAAAAGCCGGGAAAAGCCGTCAGGAGCACCGGGAGGGCCCCGCAGCAGCGTTTACCTGCTCCAGCCGCGGCAGGGGATGCTGCCGACCCACGGGTGTTTCCTCCGGGTCCTGGGAGTCCTTTCCGTGCCCCATCCCTTCACTAATGATCCTTTTGAGTTCCTTCCCCTCCCCATTACCCCTGGAATTGTGCAGCTGTTCCCCAGCTGCCGCCTTCCCCAGCGCCGCCAAATCTTTCAGGGGGTGTCAGTTTAGGAAGGAGTGAGAGAAAAATATCTGAAAAATATCTGTATCTTCCCTTTGTGCCCCGGTGCCGCTGTGTTTGTTTAGTTTCGTGCCTGTATCCCGCTCCTTCCTGCCTTTTCCTTGTTTCTGGGTATTTATTTGTCTCCAACACCAAAACCCGTGGGTTATTTGGAAATGGCCTTTGAAAAAAGGGGGAAAAAACCCCAAACTCGATGCTTTATGCAGCAGGATTTTATTTTGGTCAGTTTTTCCTTAGTTTTGGTTATGTTTGGGTCTGCTCTTTGGTGAGATTTGGTTTTGAATCATTAAAACCCTCCAGGCCAGCGGCTGAGCCCTTTGGAGGCCAGAGCAGGGAGGAAATGGCAATTCAGCCTCATTCCTTTGCCTTATCCATGACCAGACAGGTCGGTACTGAGAGGGACCAGCAGCAATCACCCCCCAAACCTCCCCCAAATTACAATTCCTCATTAATTCAAAGCAGCTGGATCGGAGCTTGGCGGCCCCCCAAACCTCCCCCAAATTACAATTCCTCATTAATTCAAAGCAGCTGGATCGGAGCTTGGCGGCTCCATAGCCCCCAAATTGCCTTAATTAGAAAACAACCAAACATCCAAAGTGAAAGGCTGGAAAAGGCCGTGCTGGGGCTGCTTTGGGCGGCTCTGCAGGGATGGGAACCCCATTTTCCTGCTCTCTTGGGGTGTGGTGGGGAGCAGGATCCATCCCAAAGGAGGCATTTCCCCTCCTGGCTCTATGAGGTCTCACCTGCAGGAACCCCAAATGCAGCTGATGACTGGGGTGGGATCAGGGCAAACCCAGCATTTTTAGGTTGTCCTTTCCCTAGGTGAGCCCTCAGCAGATGGGGGACCCCAGGGCACCCCTCCCTTTCTGCCAATTCCCTGCTCACTTCTCCTTTCCTTGTCTCAACCCAGCAGGGTCCCAACAGCACCCGGAGATTTTGGAGCTGCCAAACTCTGGGTGTCCCATGTGGGGGACAAATGACCCTCTGGGGGTACAGAGGTGGCCCCCAAACATGTGGCAGGGATTTTCCTCCTTGATCCTACTCCATTATCTGCCCCAGTGATGCAGCAGCACCAAAGGGAAGGGGAGACCCCCCAGATTTCTTGCTCTGGTCCCAGAGGAGGGTGAGGAAAGGGAGTTTGGTTCAGCAGAAAAAGCAGGGTGGTGTTTTCACTCCTTTCCAAGAGTTTTCCTGGGAGCTGCCGCTCCAGGGAAGGGCTGGCTCAGGAGCACAGAGCAGCCCCGAAGGGCAGCCACTGCTCCAGCCAGGCTTTCCCAGCCTCCGGAGGCTT